AATCTTATGTTTTTCTCTATCAATACAGTAGTTTATAGTATTGTAAAGGCAAAAAATGTAATTCATGATATTAGATATTCTGAAGAGAACAAAGGTGCCTAAAACTTAGCTAATACCATTGGTCAGCAGGTGTGTTTATGGTAATTTGTGTAATTTTGACACCCTTCCCATTTTATAAGAACATTATTTTTTTTCCAGGCTGATATTGTTCTTATAAAAGTGATGCTTTATTTGCCAAATTTCAGCCTGATGTTCTTAATCCATGTGTTCTGATATACGGGTGTTTACTGTACTTAAAATACTAAAACAAAGTTACACTACTGATAAATTAGCATCACTAACTTTGAATTAGATCCCTCAACTGGCACATAAGTGGAATAATAATGAAGTAAGAATTATCCTCTTTCTTGCTTAGGTCTTTCAAACAGCATCTGTTTCTACACAATTTATCTTCTGGTATTGACAATCCTTGATATTCCATACAAAAAGTACAATAGTGAAACTGGATGGGATTCTTTAATCTCATGAAAAATTTCTTAAGAAGGCCCATTGAAGAAGCATATTGATTTGGCAAAGCACAATGGAGGTTCACAAGCGTTAACAAATCAACAATCGCAAGTCCGGTTAAACTGTGTTGAATTGCGAAGGTAACAATTAGCAACATGCTGAATGCCACACTAATGGGTGCCCCATCATACAAGGGAACATCTGCAAACTTTTTCTCCTCTTGGTCAGTGTTTTGGTCGTCAGCACTTTCACCAGAAATAAGAGCCTCAAGATATTCTTCAACGCCGTCTTGTCCATCTTCACCTGCGCATATAGTGCCTTGCTCTGACTCCGTGGGCGTTATAATTTCTTCACTTTCTAGAAGGTTGGATTGATCACTTTGATCATGAGTCTCGAAGTCAAAGGTCTGTGCGCTGTCATCATCATCTGCCTTGTATTCGTTGAAAGGAAATTCAGAGAAAGCTCTTTCGGAAGAAAGATCAGTCTGGTGTAAAAAACTGGGCGATGAATCAGCAGAAGCTGTTTCCATGTAGTAGATAGCAATTGAAGAGCTCCTCCTCCAGGTAGCGTTTGAATTTGATATCGTGACTAAGCTTACATCATCCTCCGATGTAGAAGTAGTCGCGAAGCTTTTTTCTGGCCATTTCTTCAAAGTTGTCAGTGGAATCTTCGTTCCTGGATGAGAAAGATACTGGTTGTAAGGCCCGTGTTTTTTTACAAGAACTAGCCACAGAAGTGGAAGGTTTTTCCTTACTTTCATCGTAGATATCTTGGCCTTCCACCATCTTTCAGATCTTTTGATTGGTTAGCCCATGTCACTTTGCTAGATTTACCACTGATCTTTGCACGGTTGCACAACATACGGGATTTTATGTGTTGCCTTATTTGGTCAGGTTTCTGGTTTAGGCGGGAACTTTGGGTCGTTGCTCGAGCGCTCAAAGTTGTTCAAGACCGTTTGCAAGAACAATACGTGTATTTTATGCTTGAGTTATTGTGTAGAATATGAGTGCTACAGGGAAAGACAAAAGGAAAACAGCCCCATCACTTAAGTATGGTGAAGCAAGTAAGTTATTTCGTTATATAATTGAAACGCTGCGTGCAAGAACGTCCCCTAGATTTTTCGGCCATTTTTGAAAGTACTTAAAACTAGCTGAATTTTGGCATGTGCACTTCGTTTCACCTGAGAAACATTGCTCTGAAGTTTTTTTCACTGGGTTGCTATTCATTCTCAAGAAATAACGTATGCAAAAAAGGCACACAGGTTGGAAAAACCGAGTGGTTTATTGCATAAGAAATATCTCGAGAACGAAGCGAACTTTAGC